GATCTTTGTTTGATTGCCATGATTGCTTCAGGCGTGGTAATTAACTGATTACAGCACCCAGGTGATGCTGGCCAACAACCCAAACACAAAGGTCTTGGAGACACCTGGCTCCAATTCTGGGAGCCTCTTCCTGGCAGTTTTTGGGGGAAAAGCAAGGGTCTTGGACAAGAAAAAACCATTTTCTGGTCCTGGAGCAGTCCCTGAAGACGTGAGGCCATGTAAGAGTTTTCCCAGGGGCTCTGACTTCAAGACCCCAGACTGACCCTGCACGAACTCCTCTGGCAGCATCCTCCTAAGCAAGCAAAAAAATCTCAACATCCTTCAAAAACCAAAACAAGACCTCTGGCTGTGAAAGGAAGGACAGCTGTTTACTCCAGCCTCCCCCCCGGGGAAAGGCAGCCCAGGGGTTTAGCATCAGCAGCAGGAAAATTAGGGTAGAAAGTTTCCCTCTACGAGAAGAGAGGAAGCAGAGCGGCTGCCTCGCACCCGGCACTCTCCATCCCTGGGGACAGAGCTTGCTCCGCAGCCCAATGACACAGAGCAGGACGAGTGTCCCCCCCCAGTCCCGTTTCACAAAAATCACCCTGACCTCTGTCACCTCCCTGCACCTTCCCTGCCCCAGCCAAACCACCAAAACCCGAGAAGACGTCCTCAACGCCGCTCCCGCTTCCCTCCGCAGCCTCCCTCATCCCTCGCTAATCCCCAGAAGTTACCTAACGCAGGGGGTACGGCGAGGATTAGTTAATGTTTGTGCAGCTTTTCCGAGATAAAAGCTACGCGAGATCTCCGCATTTATTATTGATGCGGTAGTCGACGGTGTGAGGCCGTGCGGATGTAGGGGAGGGGGGGGGGAAAATTCCTTCCCCGAACCCTGCGGCGATCACTTTACAAGCCAAAGCAAAGGATTGTGTTACGGCCTGGGAGCCCTGAAAACCAGCCTGGACTTTCCTCAGTCCAAAAAAATAAAAATAAAACCCTAAATGAGGATACGGTTGGGAGCTCGGAGCGCTGCTGGCAGAGTCCGGGCGATCCCTGCTCCTGGCAAGGAGCACTCTGACCTTCAGGGACGTGAGGCACTGGTGTCACACAGCCTCGGTGCTGGGCTTCGAGCCGCCCTCCCCAAAATCTGGATGTCGATGGGTCCTTATGCACCAGCCCATGCACACCCTGCCCATCCCCTTACCTGCCTGCTCTGCCCGCCCAGCGCGTAGCGGGAGGCAGCGAGAATTAGGAAGCAGGCGTTTCCCCGGTGCCAATCCCAGCCTTGCTCTCGACCGGCTGTGTGACCTTGGGCAGGTCATTTCACCTCCGCAGCTCCTCACCCTCTCACAAGTCCTCTCTCACACCCAGGACTCAAGCGACAGCCCCACAGGGCTCTGCGCTCCCCACCAGCGTCGGGCAGGGGAGGGTTTAGGGTTCCCAGTTTACAGACTGGGAAGACGAGGCCGTTCATGCCTCCTCTCCATGCTTAAGGTCAGGTCAGGGAGGCACAGGCCAAGCTAAGAATAGAGCCAGGAGCCCAGTCCCAACCAGCTGCTCCACTCTTGGGCAGAGGCTCCATTTTGTGTCTCGATGCGTTATTTTAACCATTAACGGCAACTACGGCAAAGCTCAGCTTTGCAAGTGGCCGCGCTCCTGCCAGGACTCGCCTGGAGCCCCGGGGAGAGGACACCCCCCAAAAAAATCAAATCACCCATCCACTACAGCATCAGGAACCCCCTCCCCACCCAGACCCTTCCCTCACCCCTTCCGCCACAGCAGGAACCCGCACGCCCACAGGCTGGAGAGCATCCGTGCGCCTCGTGATCAGCGTTACACAACCGAGCCCCGGCACGGCAGCGGAGGCCTCGGCAACGCGGGCGAGTTACCTGAGCACCGTGACGCTCCCCCTCTTCACGGGCAGGAAGAGAACGGGCTCCGATACCCTGATGGGTTTGAACTGGAATTTACACCCGAAGCAGAGGGCCGAGTCGCTGAAGAAGGAGACGGAGACGATGGGCCTCTCAAAGATATGGATGGGGTCCACGTGGGAGACAATGCAGCCCCCTGGCTGGTAGTCGTTGATGACCGCACTGTTCACAAAGCCCTCGGGGATCACCCGGTGCTCCACCAGCTTCCTGATCACCAAGTCGTGCACCCACTCGGGGATGGCATCCACCGCCCCCCGTGGCTACAGGCGCTCCTGACCGGGGCCTCGTCTCTGCAGCTGAGACCCGTAGGTGTAGCCCTCCCCGAAAAAATACTTGTTCCGCAGCGGCGCCCGGTCCACCGTGTGCTCCTTGTAGAGCCCCTTCTCCGCCCGGGACACCACGTCCTCGATGCGAGCTTCGATCTTGGCGCACTCCTCGGCGCTGAAGAGGCGAAGCTGCCGGATGCCGCTTTTGACTTTCCGAGCTTCTTCCTCCTCCTTCTGCTCCTCGTAGTCGCTGGGCTCGGAACCGGAGTCCTCCTGGTGCCGGCGTTTGCGGTCGTAAGGGGGGTCGGGGGGCTCCCGTG